TTCTGAATTGGATATTTCGACCTGTTTTCCCGGATTTCGAAGGTCATATCAAGGATAAATGGAAATCCATTTTTACTACGAGAGCAGCGGATGTAAGGTATCCGATACCTAATGCTAATAATCAACGATTGAAAAAAATAAAACAATTACGTTTAATTTAAGATTTATAATTATTATAATAGTTTTATTCTTTTTCTTTCTTACTCACTTCTGCATAATTGAAAAATTTACTATTTAAAGTTGCTTAAATTTAAAAATTCCAAACATACATACAGGGTATGTAGGTAATTACATTCCCAAGTTACCTTTCCAGAATGGCTGATTATAGTCCTAATGAGATTGTTGATATTATATTAGTTTTAGGGGAGTGTCATAGCAATTACAATGCAGCATCAAGGCTTTATACTCAACGTTTTCCTGAAAGGCGACATCCAACTGATATGACAATACGTAGTTTAGTCTAAAGAACTCGCAATGAACATCTTGTTCGTCAACGTCAACATCATGAATATGACGAAAATGATGCGCGAGCTGTAATTATTTTAGCAATAGTTCACCTTAATCCTCATGTTAGTACTCGCCAGATTGAAAGGGAAATAGGTATACCACAAAGAACTGTTGTTAGAATTTTAAGAGCTCTAAATTATCACCCTTTCCACATAACTCTTACGCAGGCTTTACAGCCTAATCATCATCTGATGCGTATTGCTTTTTGCCAGTGAGCTATACAAATGTTACACGATGATCCTAATTTTTTTAGGTATGTGCTTTTCTCAGATGAGGCTAAATTTTATAGTGACGGACAACTTAATAGACACAACTGCTATTATTGGTCAGATGTTAATCCCCACTGGTATAGGTCAATAGATCATCAAAATCGATGGAGTATTATGGTGTGGTGCGGCATTGTAAATGGTTATTTGATTGGACCTTATTTTTTTGAAGAGAACATTGATAGACACAGTTACTTATCGTTGCTAAGAGATCACTTACCAGGCTTATTAGAAGATGTTGACTTAGCAACAAGAACAAGAATGTGGCTTCAACAAGATGGTGCTGCACCGCATTATGCACTCATTGTACGTGCCTTTTTAAATGCCAGTTACAATGACAGATGGATTGGACGAAAGGGTCCAGTTGAATGGCCTTCTTGCTCACCAGATCTGACGTGAGAGGCAAGGGGACATACAATAATCAAGCACCCCGACGTGAGAGGCAAGGGGACTCACGATAATCAAGCACCCCGACGTGAGAGGCAAGGGGACTCACGATAATTAAGCACCCCGACGTGAGAGGCAAGAAAACATACAATAATCAAGCACCCCGACGTGAGAGGCAAGGGGACTCACGATAATCAAGCACCCCGACGTGAGAGGCAAGGGGACTCACGATAATCAGGCACCCCGACGTAAGAGGCAAGGGGACTCACAATAATCAAGCACCCCGACGTGAGAAGCAAGGGGACTCGCAATAATCAAGCATCCTAAAGGAAACAGAACTTACTACATCCACGTCGTTGTTTCCGGGTAACGCTAAAAGTAAGATGAAAGTGCTTTTGACCTTGATATGACCTTCAAAAGGTCAGGTCAAAAAACTAAAAAATCCTTATGCTCATGTAAAAAGTGCCATTGTTTAAGAGTCCATTGTCAAGAAACGGATTCTGTGGTCAAAAATAGGGTTTACTAATAAAAAAATGCGTTATAAACCTCAAACAACCTTGAAAATTGACCTCAAGGTCAAGCTAGTCAAAGTGATTTACACTTCATTGACTTTGTTTAAGCATTATGCACATTTGTGTTACCCAGAAAACCACGTCATTTCAGAAAAAGTACACCAGATCGTTTTTCAGGCATTTCACCTTTATTTTTGACCTTTCCAAGGTCGCAAAAACAATTTTTTTATAAGACAAGTTTGATGTAAAATTTTCCGCTCTTTTAAAATCCGCAGTCAAAAATAGGGTGTCCCATTTAAAAAAACCATCGTGACCTTGAAATAACCTTCAAAATTGACCTCAAGGTCAAAATCAATGGTACAATTGAATGACCCTCTCTGTCCTGGTCAACTTTTATCTAAACCATTTTTTCGTAGATACCGTAATTTGGAAGATATTCGGGTCCATAGATTAAAATGACTCACCCTGTATTAAGAATTATAAGGGCTTGACAAAAATCGCAATAATTCTTGACTTGTAAATTGGTAACATATAAAAGAATATGTTATCATTTTCTTATTAAATAATAACATTGAGTGATTTGTTAAATAATATAGAAATGGGAATTGTTACATATTTTGGCTCCATTTTTTTAATTTAGCAACAAGTTGGCGCGCCTTTCTGTGCAGACCTTTAATTAGTCGCGCCGACGTCTCGTTACTAAGTTAAGAAAATGGAGCCAAATGCAACAATTCCCATCTCTATATTGTTTAACAAATCACTCAATTATTGTCTAATGCCAAAAGAACGCGACAAATATATTGCGACAAGAAATATAACATATAAGATTAATAAAATATATAGAAAATTGAAAATAAAAAACCGCGATCTCTTTCTTTCGAATAATTTTTCTAATCATCATTAAATAAAAAAAGAAATTATCAATTTAATTGTTACACGATGTTAGATATTCACTGCAGATATTTGATAAATTAAAATAATATGTAAAACGTATAGAATTTAGCAACGAGTTGGCGCGCCTTTGTGTGCAGGCCTTTAGTTAGTCGCGCCGACGTCTCGTTGCTAAGTTACGAAAATCGAGCTAAATGCAACAATTCCCATCTCTATATTGTTTAACAAATCACTCAATTATTGTCTAATGCCAAAAGAACGCGACAAATATATTGCGACAAGAAATATAACATGTAAGATTAATAAAATATATAAAAAATTGAAAAAAAACCGCGATCTCTTTCTCTCGAATGATTTCTAATCATCATTAAATAAAAAAGAAATTATCAATTTAATTGATACACGATGTTAGATATTCACTGCAGATATTTGATAAATTAAAATAATATGTAAAAAGTATAGAATTTAACAACGAGTTGGCGCGCCTTTGTGCGCAGGCCTTTAGTTAGTCGCGCCGACGTCTCGTTGCTAAGTTACGAAAATCGAGCCAAATGCAACAATTCCCATCTTTCTATATTATTTAACAAATTATTTAATTATTGTATAATGCCAAAAGAACACGACAAATATATTGCGACAAGAAATATAACATATAAGATTAATAAAATATATAGAAAATTGAAAAAAAACCGCGATCTCTTTCTCTCGAATGATTTCTAATCATCATTAAATAAAAAAGAAATTATCAATTTAATTGATACACGATGTTAGATATTCACTGCAGATATTTGATAAATTAAAATAATATGTAAAAAGTATAGAATTTAACAACGAGTTGGCGCGCCTTTGTGCGCAGGCCTTTAGTTAGTCGCGCCGACGTCTCGTTGCTAAGTTACGAAAATCGAGCCAAATGCAACAATTCCCATCTTTCTATATTATTTAACAAATTATTTAATTATTGTATAATACCAAAAGAACGCGACAAATATATTGCGATAAGAAATATAACATATAATATTAATAAAATATATAGAAACTTGAAAATAAAATACCGCGAATCTCTTTCTCTCGAATGATTTCTAATCATCATAAAATAAAAAAGAAATTATCAATTTAATTGTTACATGCTGTTAGGTACTCACTGCGGATATTTGATAAATCAAAATAATGATGTAGAAAGTATGGAATTCCTCGAGATAACTTCGCAAATATCGGAGGCACAAAATACACGTCCGTATGGGCTCACGTTATCGCAGAGAAAGAGCGAAAAAACAAAATCGCCGCGCTAGGAGGATCTCGTTAAGTCACTGCACACATCATGCGCGACTTAAGGCGCCAGCGTAGTTAACCAATCAGAAGATCCTAGTCCAAATCTAGCCAATTGGCAATGTGGATTGGTAGCATATATTGTCCAACCGTGCTTGCGTTGGTTGCGCGCGTAAAAATGGAGCTTTGATACAATTCAGACACTCCTATAACATTATATATTTAAAAAAAATATTATCATTGCTAAATTAATATTCAAATAGGGAAATAATTTTAATGTTGTCAAAATATAATATAAAAATTATAAAAAATAAAATTAATTAATGAAAGGCTCGTATAAATTAACAAAATTTAAAAAAGGTAAATATTGTAGACCAACTAAACGAGCAATTAAATAAGATCTAAAGATTTATTAATAATTAAATAATTAAATTCTCATTCCGTTAGAGAAACAATATACAGCATAAACGTTTCGACTGTACTACAGTCTTTTTCAATACATAAAAATCAAATATTATAATACAAAGTTATAAATATTAAAATAAAAAGTTAGTTAAATATTAAAATACAAAGTTAGTTAAATATTAAAATACAAAGTTAAACGATTCTTCGCTGATGACCAATTTAGACTTCGCAACACACACTTGAAATGTCGAGAAGAAGAACTTGTTAAAACGATAATGTAAGTTGAAAGATTTTTTCATTTTCTCTGATATTAATTTAATTCGCGTAAAATATCCACAGCATGATATTAAATGTCGCAAAACTTGAAATCTCAGACCAATCGTTTTACTCATCCATTGGTCATCAGCGAAGAATCGTTTAACATTGTATTTTAATATTTAACTAACTTTGTATTTTAATATTTAACTTTTGTATTTTAATATTTGATTTTTATGTATTGAAAAAGACTGTAGTGCAGTCGAAACGTTTACGCTGTATATTGTTTCTCTAACGGAATGAGAATTTAATTATTTAATTATTAATAAATCTTTAGATCTTATTTAATTGCTTGTTTAGTTGGCCTACAATATTTACCTTTTTTTAAATTTTATAAAAAATAATATTTGTATACGCCATATTGGTAAGGTACGGTTCGTACGAACTGTATTGTACGATATGTACCGATAATATGCACTAATACGTAGTACAGGTACAATGATGATACGCTGTACTACAATATCACGTATTGGTTTTGTACTGTTACCATACGGTTACTCCGTATGCTGCCATCTCGTGGCGGCACACTAATAGTACAGTAGCGGTATTTTGTGCAGGAATCGCACGCTTGGTTATCTGGGTCCCGAGAGGAGAAAACATACCCGGGAGAGAGAGTTCATAACCTAATCCTTGCAAAGTGTCACTTTAGCAGTGCAGTGGTCTCACAAATATACTCGTTTGGATAGTAAATAATTAGTTTACATGAACAGACCGTAATAATTGTGCAAGTGTAAAAGGTAACATAGACTTTATATATTGTTGATAGCAATAGTAAAGAAATCCAAGATATTTAACAGTATGTATATGGAGGTAAATTAAAGCAGTTCTATATTATCATTATTAAATACTATAAAGTTATTTATGATTAATTGATTATTAAGTATATATATTCACGTCTATCAATATTATTGTATAAACTAGAAAATGATATTAAAGAATCATATAAGTACTTGTGTGTGTTATTCCCCATGCATTAATCGGATGTCAGTAATACATGGTATTCATTATATTTAACAGTAAAAAGCACACCACCCGGAAACAGGAGTACAAGATATAACTTACAAGGAGACATCCTGCACTACAATGATGCAGGTGTCAGCAGGTCATTTGAATTGTATTTAGGTTTACCGCAACTTCAAGTATATTAACACAAATGCAGCCATGCAGAGAAAGTCACATATTTTACACTATTAGAGATGACGTAAGTTCAAATATTAAATATTAATTATTGAATAATTATAAAATTGTCTTATTTATATATGTGTATATATGTATAAAAGTTATGTTCTAGTGTAATATTCTTAAATCCATTTCTACTAATTATTGATTACAGTCCAGATATGTAAGATCCATTGACTACTTAGTTTATATTCATTAAAAAATCACACAGTCATATGCAAATTGGACTAATTGTCATTTAACGTCACTCTATTTATCACATAAAACATATGTGTATATTAATTTCACTTATCTTTACGCAGCGGAAAGAACTCCAAGATGATGAAAGGCTCCGTAAGATCACCAGAAGCATCTGAGGGGTCTCAGGGATTCCAGCGCATCAACAATTCCAAGATAACCAGGAAAACAGCTTCAGCATCTCAACGAAAACCCACTCCGTCCCAGATTAGAATGTTTAAAAGCATCAATTCAGGAATTTGACATTTCATCACAGCACTTGTAATAATTCCCAGCGAAACGCTCAATAGGTAGTGAAACAAAACTGCGCATGTTTCATCACCAACTTAGAGTTTTTAAAAAATGATCATAAGACATTCTAAAGTATATATTAACCGTTCAATTCTGTTTTGTTGATTTATTTTTAGCTTAGTGAACTTATTACTAGAAATAACTAAAGAGTCTGTATAATTTCAGATGACTGTCATGTTTCACTCACAGGAAGATCACTCGACTATTTTGAACTTCCATTTATGCATCCATTAGTTATTATAGATGCTTCACAGGTAATTATAATTATAGGTGTAGTACCAATATACTACTACACTTTAGTATCTTAATTTAACACTTAAAATTTAATAGTTGCATACATCTAACTTAAGTTAATTAGTCAAGTGTTAACTATCTATTAAGTTTTAGATTATAGGGAAGATGTAAAATGCCGAGACGCGGTTACAGCACATGTGCATTTCTTAACACTGTTCTTAGACGGAATTTATCACAGCACTATAAAATTTATCTAGATCGGACGTATATAAGGTTAGTATTATTTAACTAATATCAAGAGATATTCAACGCTAATATATTTCTCAAACTAGAGTATTTTAAAACAACAAGTCAAAGTATATTATAGATTCACCACCGGCTTATATTTTAAAACTTTATAAAAGAATATTAACTATTCAAGTCTATTTTCAATATCAGTCTATAAACTTGTTACAAACAGCATTAAAGTAGTCAAAGTATTTGTATGAGTAGACGTATTACTAAAAAGTAATCAATTCTATGTAATTTCAGATGATTATGATATTTCACACAACGGGAAGACCACCAAGTTATTTGAACTTCCGGCACCTTATTTATGCACCAGTTAGTTGTTATAAATGCATCATAGGTGATTATAATTACAGGTGCGATATTAATATAATATCACATCTCGCTATTACCATCTAACACTTGGAATTCATTAGTTACGTATATCTAGCTTGAAAACAATTGGTCAAATATTAACTGTCTGCTATGTTTTGGATTATAAGGATAAGATGTAAATGCCGAGGCACAATTGTAACGCAAAAGTGTTTCTCAGCACTGATCTAAAATGAATTTTTATCACCGCACTATAAATTTATCCAATTCAGTTATATATAAAATTAGTGTTTCTTTGGCTATCACAAACTAAAGTATTGAACAATAGGTCAAAGTATATTATAGATTTCACCACCAACTTTATATTTCTAAACTTTGTAGAAGAATACTAACTGTTCAAGTCTGTTTTTCAGTATCAATCTATAAACTTGCTAGTATTAAAATAGTCCTAATATTTGTATGATTCCAGGTAATATCACATAAGGCCACCAAGCTATCTTTCTCCTACAAACTTCGTTTATTTGAGGATATAATACAACACAGATATGTAAGTATAAACGATATTATACTCTATTATTTGGTGTTTGTCATTTAAGATTAGCCAATTCCTATACGACTTCATAGTTAGTCATATATGATATAAACTCTCTGTTGTATTTCAGATTGAGGAAAAAGGTGTAGAACGCAAAAGCGCAGTTACAAACACAAAGGCGTTCCTTGACACTGTTTTAAGGAGGTGTTTAAACATAACACTATAAGATTTACAAACTCTATCGTAATAAGATTAATGTTATTTTAGATAATATCAATGATGAATACTCAGCTATAATATTTACACAGGATAGTGATTAACTAAAATAATTAATGTGTAGTAAGACAATGCATATTCGCCCATAGGCTCAGTATTTTGGATAGTAATTTCTAAGTCCTGAAAATATATTCGTAGTCCAAATACTATGCATATTACTAAAATACTTAAGCTGTTTATGTAATTCCATAGAATTATCATATATTAATATCCGCAGAAAGACCGTCAGCTATCTTTTCATCTGCGCGCACCTCGTTTATAGGAGATTCATTACATCACAAATGTTAGCAGGTATAAATATTATGCTTACTGTTTTTTCATTTAACACTTGAAAATAGTCAGATATTTGTCTAGTTTCAAAGTTAATCAATTATAAGTAATTGTCCGTTGCATTGCAATTAAGAAAACATTATGTAAAACACCTAAAACACAGTTACAAACTCAAATGTAGTTCTTTGCTCTAGTCCAACGCGATGTTTTACAGCACATTCGTTTATTTGAGAAACAAATGACTATCAATTCACACAATCATCATATAAACTTGTAAATATAAAGTAAAATAAAATAAAGTATTTTATATGCTAATTATTGTTTGTTGTTTAGCACTTGTGACAAATCAATATATTTATCCAGCTTAGATCAAACATCAATTATAAGATATTTGTCTAAATATCGATTGATTTATTTCAGATTGGGAAGACGAGGCATGGGGCGCCAGAATATGGTTGCACATCCAAGTATAAATCCTACGCTATTCTAGGATGAAGAAACAGTGTTTGTTCACACATAATCAGATGACAAAGGTAGTTAATTCAAACTACCCCTACTAGTAAGATTTTATAGTCATGTATATATATATGTGCATCTATATCAATATACAGATACAAAATTATATTATTTAATCAAGATTGATTATCCAAATATGAAGAATTATTAGTTTTGGATTTTCCTTCTAGATAACTCATCCAATAAGGTCAAGGATAAGGAGCAAACTGTTACTAATTACTTTCGGTGAAGATATAAATACTATCCGACTTCAACGCAACAGTACCAAAATACTATATTGCTTGACAGAGTCAGAATCAAGCTCCCAAGATAGATTAGGGGCAATGCAAACTTTTTTAACAATTATAACAATCAGCTACACGCATATTATAAGATGCATAATTGTAAGTCTGTTAAATTAGACATATTTTATAACTTAACATCTTGTTACATGAATCAAATGATTCTCCTACTTAAAAGGAAATCAACCACTTAAAGATTTCTTATTTTATTGCAGAAACAACTGGATCGTAGCACAGAAGAAGCAGCAAACATGAACAGTTCATCCACTATTATTAACACTAGATATTTAAGATTTAATATCTTTCTGACAGTGTCTCAACCAATTTAGTTTAGCCTAATTTAATTAAAACTAATTAATGTAGTAATAATAATAATGTATTCTGAAATATAATATTTTAAAGTTATTACTAGTCCATTTTAATTGTTAATAGATTATATATATATGTCTTAAATATTCTTATTTATTGTCTAATCTATAACTATTATACTTGATTTCAATAATTTCAATTGATAATTATGTTATTAATTATCACATATCAAAATTTCGCGCATTTAATATATCAACCAATGAAGGATTGCCAGCACTTAACAGGCAGGTTGCCAACCTACTTGAGCACGCGCGCACTGCGCAGAACAAATGCGCTGTAGCAAGAACTGCCACGTGCAATTTATTTCAATATACTTATTTAATGAAAAAATGTTATATATTTATGTAAGTCACATAGAAAACACTTATATAATTATGTGTCTATTGTTTATAAGGCAATAAAAGGCACTTATAACTTATTAAAGGTTTAAAAGTCAGATTTTAAATGAAAATAACTACAGTTAGCAAAGCCAATGAGAGGCTGCCAGCGGATACACACGCAAATGCAGCCAACCCACTTTTGAGCACGCGAGCGCATTAGTCTAGTGGAAAACAGTTACAATTTAATAATTCAATTTTAACAATAACTAAAATTATTTCAACTATTCCTAGTCACTAGATAACAACTTGCAATTGTCAATAACATATATAAAATGTCTACTTCACCGTAAAAAATTCCGACCAGCTTATTGGAGAGCCCAAAGATTTTTGATAGATTTGCCCCAAGCCAGACAAGGATGGCAATAGTTTGGAATTGCAGCTGTCATTTATAAACAAACTAATAAGTTTTGATAGTCTGGATTTTCACATACACTAACAAATAATCGTAAGAGTATATTAAAAATATATTCCATCATGTGGAAAATTTATAACACCACAAATATAAACTTTCACTGCAGTCCACTGGAGTGAGAGAGACAGCAACAGATATAAATGAAAAGTATAATTTCCAGTCAAACTAACAAACTCTATCACTCCAAATTTTCACAGTTACTAATAAACAGTCATAGGAATGTATTAAAAATATATTCCAACACACAGAAAATATCTAAAGTCAAGAAAAATATACGTCAAGTGTAAGTCCACTGGTGTGAGAGAGATAGCAATAGTCTCCACACAATTTCATTAATTATGAATTAAATACTTAATAGAACTATTTGAAATTATTATATATAGTCAAGAACATAGTAACAAATAATCCCACAGTAAAATAATCCACTTTTAACACACTTTTAAGTCATAATGTCAATTGTCCTCCCTACCTGTCAATATCATGCACTAGACAGGCAGAGCACATGTCAATATTTAAGAGGCTTATTTTAAACAAAATACTTGTTCAATCAATTTGCCTCCACTTACTAGTGAACTAAGCATTAAAAACAATACACCAATAATGTTTTTGGTATTAAAAACCGAAAATTTACCACCTTTTTCAGTACTTAGGTACGGAGCGTACTTAGTGCACGTGCACCGAGAAGATAGTCTCTCGACGGACTCCATCCGCAGCATGATTAAATGTCACATAACTTGGCATTTTTTTTTTTTTGGTTACTCTGGGGAAACCTCATGGTACCACTCACCTCCGGGTAAAGGTGAGGGTTATGTGGGACTCCCTGCCCCGCCTGGCCGGCCCGCACCTCCGTCTGGCCGGTCCGCCGTAGCGGGCCGGAGAGCCGGGACAGGACCTACCGCACTAAAACCCCAGAGGATGTCCTACTCGGGGCGTTTGGATGGGGGGTGCCGAGGATGCTGGTAACCCATGCCGTCTCGGAAACCACCCCCCCGCCCATAAATCTCCGGGGAGCCGCCCCAACCTTGCGGCCGAGACACCTCCCCGACCGCACAGTCAATGACTGTGCGGTGTCGACGCGGTTGCGGCACGAGGCGACATCGACCTCATGCCGCGCCCTCCCAAAAAGTTTGAGGGGCGGAGCCATGGCTCGAGAACTCCCGCTCGAGCCATCGCCCCTCGCCCCCCCCCCAGTGTCGCAACCCCCGGACCCCCAAGAGGGTGGTCCGGTTCGGCGGTTCACTGAGAGAGCCCTCATCAGGAGGTTCCTCTCAGAAGGAGAGAAACCCCCTTCCGTGGACGGTGTTGCCCTCCCACCGGTGCCTTGTGGCTTCCAGTGAGAGGGCCCCACACGTCACGTCTCCGTCCTTGAGAGGGGCTTAGGCGCCCCAGACGGGAGGGCAATACCCGCCCGCCAGGGACACGTGGCCCCCCCTCGGCCCCCCCCCAGTTGCAGCCTCCTCCGCTCCCGTAGGAGTTAGGATTTGGCCGCAACCAGGGGGGGCTCCTCTTCTGGGAGGACGATCGCCCACCCCACGCCTAAGCGCGGGAGCGCGACCGCCTCCCCCCCCCTCAAGAGGCTGCCGGGGGGCAGAGCGCGAGCCTACGCCCGCGCACCCCCCCCCCCCGACACCCTTATCCGGCGTCGAACATCGACGCCGAGATCATTCGGGCGCCCCTCCCCCGATTCCTACCGCCGCTAACAGCCGCACCGCGAGGTACAGCTGCCGACGGCCGGGAAGGGGGAGGCACGTCCTCACCTCTCGACCCCGTCGGGGGTGCTACATAACTTGGCATCTCAGACCAATCGTCTTGCACATCTATTGGTCAACAGCGAAGAATCGTTTTAATTTTATATTTTAATATTTAACTAACTTTGTATTTTTAACATTTAACTTTGTATTTTAATATTTAATTTTTATGTATTGAAAAGACTGTAGTGCAGTCGAAACGTTTACGATTTATATTGTTTCTGTAACGGAATGATAATTTTAATTATTTAACTATTAATAAAAAAATTTTTAAATCTTATTTTTTGCTCGTTCAGTTGGCCTACTATATTTGTTTTAATTCCATTAAAATAAATAAAGTATACACATATATATATATATATATATATATATATATATATATATATCACTTCAGATATATGTATATATACGAGGGCGGTCCGATAAGTACTTAGTCTCACCGCCCGATGGTGCCAGTATCGCAAGAGAGATTTACTATCGTGTAGTACATTCTCGTAGACGGCTACTGTCAAAATTTCAGCCGAATCGGACTCGTAGTTTTGTTTTGACCGCGTGTGGAAGCGGGCGTGTCCGCGGATTTTAGAAAAATGGAAAAAGAGCAATATCGGTCGGTGATTCGATTCTTGTTTTTGGAAGGGAAATCGCGCAGCGAAATCAAAGAGCGCTTGGATGCAGTGTACGGTGACTCTTCTCCTTCGATGGCGACCGTCAAAAATTGGTTTAACGAGTTTCAATGTGGTCGCACGTCGGTTTTTGATGAGCCACGCCCAGGTGCCCCGAAAATGGCTACCACGGAGGATAACGTGACAAAAATCTACGATCTCGTATTGGTAGACCGCCGATTGAAGGTGCGCGAGATAGCTGAAACAGTAGGCATCTCAAAAGACCGCGTGGGTCATATCCTGCATGAAATTTTGGGCATGAGAAAGCTGTCGGCGCGATAGGTGCCGCGTTTGCTCACTCCGGACAACAAGCGCAACCGTGAGACCATTTCAGAACAGTGTTTGACGCTGTTTAAGCGCAATCCGAAGGAGTTTCTGCGTCGTTTCGTGACCGTCGACGAAACATGGATCCACTGGTACACACCAGAGACCAAGGAACAGTCGAAACAGTGGACTTTACCCGGCGAACGTGCTCCGAAGAAGGCGAAGATTGTCCTATCAGCCGGAAAGGTGATGGTCACCGTTTTCTGGGATTCACAAGGTGTGATCTACATCGACTACCTGGAGAAGGGCAAAACGGTCACAGGGCTTTTCTATGCTGAATTATTTGGCCGATTCGACGCAGAAAAAACGGCCCCATTTGGCGAAGAAAAAAGTGCTCTGCCACCATGACAACGCACCGGCTCACACCTTCGCCGTCGCCACGGCCAAATTGGTCGAATTGCACTACGAACTGCTGCCCCATCCACCGTATTCTCCAGATTTGGCCCCGTGCGACTTTTTTTTGTTTCCAAACTTGAAAAAGTCACTCGCCGGGCAGAAATTTGAGTCGAATGAGGAGGTCATCGCCGCCACGGAGGCCTACTTTGCAGACCTCGAGAAAACGTATTTTTCAGATGGGTTAAAGAAGTTGGAGCATCGCTGGGTCAAGTGTATCGAGCTAAAAGGAGACTATGTTAAGAAATAAATCGCAACTTTTCCAAAATTTTCGTTTTTCTTTTGTAGGCTAAGTACTTATTGGACCGCCCTCGTATACATATATATGTCGTAGCCCGATAGCGAAATTAGCCAATTAGCTAAAAACCTAGGCGTTTAGCTAAATGCCGCCCGTTAGGCTAATCGAGGACGATATAGTCTAATGGCCTGGAAAATTCAGCCTGTTAGACGAGAAGTCGGCTTTTCGCCTAACGGCCTGGCGCGCTGTAGGCGATTAGAGAAATGCTTGTTTTGGAGCTCGATATGTTGTCAATTTATTTACTACACAATTATTACTACATTACTATTTGTTAATGCAAAATGCGTTACTGTGGCAACGAGAATTGCAAAGAATTTTTGCTTTAAAACATGCACATCTATTTGTCTGACACTGATTTTTAGCAATTTTGCAATTGCATTTTTTATATCCCTGTCCACCACTTGCCGACTGCTTCGCAGCAGCTTCCCTCAAAGTAAGAAGAACATTTTTGGGAACGTCAGCCATGGTAATAAGATTAGTGCCCGATTTTGCAATTTCAATACGGGGGAACCATCCTTTCAATATCCCATTCTTAGTTCCAATTTGATATACGTCATTTTTGGTATCAGTTACAACGCCAAATATGTTATTAAAATCGAGAGGCCCACGGTCAACAGTGGGAACAGATAATGTAATAGTGTCATTGATCTGAAGGGGTGGAAAAATGATACTCGAACAGGTAACCATTTTTTCGGCCTCTGTCGTTTGACGCTCGAAACAATTTGACCGAGTGTCAAGTAGCTGTTCGCCCCTAGCGCACAATGAACAGGTAGCAATCTGTCCGCGGTCGCTATG